CGTCAGAAAATTTAGAAAACGGAAAAATCAAAAGAATCAAGAACAAGTCATTAGTTATTTTTTACGGTAAAAGTTCATACATCAGTCAGAAGCTTTTTCCCGAGTCGAAACAAATAAATATGAACATCAGTTAAGAAATGAAAAAACTAGTGTTGTACTGAACATCTCTTATATAAAGAAACACAAGAAAACATCTTTAATTCTGTATTGATTTGCGTTTATGTAAGATGATACAAATAAATCTATTGCTACTTGCTATATAGAGTAAGAGGTTTAATGAAGTGTGTATGTATACGTTATATGTATAGTCAAATAGTTTTTGATAAATCCTCAAGACAGCAGCTTGACATGAGCACGGAAAAACTGTTTGCTAAAATATTTGCGAAAATTTAGTTAGATATACATTCGAAAATAATTTAGTCAGACTATCAAAATAATTATGTAGAACGTTTAAACATTTGATAATAATGCTGCAAAAAATTTTAACATTTTAGTAACGCGAGATTGAGCATCCTATACACAATTATTTTAATAATCCAAACAAAATTATTTTTCTGTATCTAGGAAATTTTTTAATACTTGACTAAAATCGTTCTTTTCGAAACGACGGAAATATTGATAAGGCATCATTATCTCTTTGAATAATTAGTTTAGATATCGTTTAAACTTCTAGAACGTCGATTACAAGATACGCTAAATTATATTCATAGGGGACTTCCTTGTGGTGTTCAACCCCCGGAGTCGGTGCCAGACCCCGATGGCGATAAACTGGCGACGATCGCGGCGCGCTTCAGTTATTTCCAGGAAAAGAGGAACGTGCTGTCGTCGTCGGCGGCCGCCGTCGTCGCCAAGGTCGACCTCCGCAGGAACATCAATCCGCCCGCTAGGTACAAAAACGCCAGGCCTACAGTGAGATTGAGGCCCCGCCAGGTGCTCTGTAGTAAGTGCCGATCGATCTGCAATGAGAACAGCGAGAATGTTGACGTCAGCAGGAAGAGGAAGCACGAGGATGCTCAACAGCAATCGCAGCAGGTATACGGCGAACGTAGCTTACTTAAGATCGCATATTTTTTTATAGAACTGTGTTTAGATCGGATACATCTCTTTCAGAAATTTAATATTAGAAGGTAGATATAGTGATTAATTATTTATTTTGTGTATTAAGTATATACGAAAAGAATAATTTTATTAAAATATCTAATGATTTATTTAGATAAAGATTTAAAAATAATTTTGTTGGATCGTCGAAATAATTATGTAAAAAACTCAAGCACAATGTAATAAATTTTGATATTCTAGCAACTTAATTAAATGTCCTACATAGTTTATTTTAATAATTCAACAAAATTATTTTCAGATCTGTATCTAAGTTTTTAGATACTTCAATAAAATCGTTTTTCTTCTCCGCGTAAAAGCACTGTTCAGTGCTTCTCAAAATAAGTAATTTCCACAGTGTTAAATTAGATTTTCAAATGTAAGAAATCAAATGTTTCTCTTAAAGAAGTTTTTAAACAATTTCAAAACATAATAAATTTTATAAAGAAGAAAGTTTTTTTATGTGAATGTGTATATATCGACGATTGTAATTTAAGAATTCTTAAATTATAATATCGATATCGTCAAAAATTTGATAGGTTACGTCAGAATCCTCTGAATTTTTTTGAGTTTTAATGAGAGCTGCTTCTTTTAACATCGTTATATTCATTAGACTTCTAGAAACTTTATTAAAATCACTGTACGTTAACAAATATTTGGCTTGAATCATCGCATAGAAGTAAGTATTTTCTTTGCTGTTTCTACTAGTTGATTCCGGGATCCACGAGAAGAAGTGATCGACGTTGCGGTCAGCAACCGCAGAAGACTCAGCGAACATTGCTATCGGAATGTCGGACGGAAAGTCCGATGATCCCCAATCAAACGACGAAGACGACAAGTTCGAGTATTGATTCGAAGGTGGGAGCATCGCTGATCCCAAAACTGTCGAGATTGCATCCCAACGAGATCAATAACGTCATACAGAATCCCGGTCAATTATCTGGTACATTTTTATCTATTTACCTTCGATGAAGTAATCGCGTTGATGTTAATTAACATATATTATTATTATTGGAAAATTTAAGAACACGTTTAAAAAGGTTATAGATTACATATTACATTATGTGATTTTATGCGAATTAACTGTATGATAAAAAAATAGTCAGCTCTGAATTTATCTTTTTTAATGAACAATTTGCTTTTGCGATGTTTACTTGGTTCTTTTAATTTTTTTTTGCTTTTAATCTTTTTAATAATCTAGTGATGTTGCATCCCAACGAGATCAATAACGTCTCAACTATGCGGATCAATTGAAACAAAAAACTTGTTATATAAATGGAAACAAAGTTCAAATCTTGAAAATTAAATTTTTTATGTTTTATATATTTATTGCTATAAGTTTTTTGTAGGACGAAATAATTTTTCAATTTTCGTAATATTATGTCTGTGTGTTTAAAGAAGAGAAGTGTAAAGAAGATATTTATTTTCAATCCTTTGCGTAAATAATAAATGCTTGAAAATTAAGAAATGTTTTTTGGACTAGAACTTTTAGATGGATAAAGGAGCTTTAATTGACAATATCTTGTATGTATAAACTCGTATCGAAAATTGCACAATTGTTTTAGATAAGGTGAAGGTCGCGGCGAGCCCACAATCTTCACATTGGCCTGTAAGAAATGAAGAGGAGGTATCCTTGAGGAACGTATTAACATCGCAAGAACGAGTGGAATCCACTGCCGAATGCGACAATAATCCTTCAACGGCTTATTGTGCCACGCCGAGAAGACTCAGCAGTTCATCGGTGGAGAGCGCAAAAATTCCCGAAGAGGAGGACAAGAAAACTTTCGCAGCTGCGGATTCGACAATGAGATTGAAAACTGGTAGAGTGCCGAGGAAGAAACGTTCAGTGGGTTCGATGGAGGATCTTTGGGATGAATCGGTGTTTGAAGATCCCACGAGAATCGCCAGGACCACGCCAGTGATTAAAATATCATTTGGTGCGCAAGGCGAAGGAACTGTTCTTAAAATACCTGCAAAACCTCAGGATCCTGATGCGTATGAACAAGAAACAGATGATGCCGATGACGCTCAGCAAGAGAGAGATCCTCTGGAGCTGCCCAGATCCTTTGGCGAATATTACGAAGGCGAAGAGGACGGGCAGGAACAGGTGGATCCTCAAAAGCAGGGCGGTGTGGTGAAAGATGCCAGTGCAAAGGCGGCAAAACGAGCTCTGAAGAAGGCCAAAAAAGAGGCTAGAAGAAAAATGTTGGGCGGAGTGTCGCCAGCGAGGTCGCCTTGTAATGGATCGCCGAGGTAAAATAATTAAAAATTATATAATTGTTAAGAATCCATAATTTGCATGTGGTTGTGAGCATTGTGAGTTTTATGATATTTTTAAATTTTTTTTAATTTATTTTCTACGGTAATATATATAGAGGGAGGTTGCCAATATATATCATCATATCACTTTATTTTTGGACTATATTTTTTAAACAGAAGTTAAAACTAAAACTTTTTTTGCAATATAATTAATCTTTTTGTGAAGTAAACAGAAATGAGCGTCTCACATAGGCCTTAAAGCCGACGTAGTAGGCAATAATGCTACATATTTTTATTTTTCTCTTTTAGGAATTATACAAGTAGATGTTAATACAAATATATATACAATACAAGTATATATACAAGTTAATGTACATAAGAATTTCTAGAATTCTTTCACTGCGATATAAAAACAATTTTTGTTGATTTATACGCATATTTTATCCTGTTTCATCCGACCATTTTATCTTTTAAGTTTTCCCGTAAATACAAAAGCGTTTTTAGCTCTGATAAGATTTTCTGACACAATCATGCTACAATACATAAAGATTAAGCTTATGGTCTGTCTCACAGTGCTAATTTACGATGTATCAGTTAACATTGCATCCTGATTTTATGTTTATAATCTTATTACAAAAACAGAAAAATCATAAAGAACAAAATTTAAATAAAATTGAAAAACAATAAACAAATAAAAATCTAATATTATCAATAGTGTATCTACTATTATTTAAACTATGCAATTTGCAAAAGAAAATTGCAAAAATTTTAATTTCGCATTTGTGAAATTCGTTTTAGTACTTTAATTAACAGAATTTTTAATTAACAGAACATATTTTTATCAGTATTAATAAAACGCAATGTTAGTCTCGTGAAATAAGGAGGTATTTCTTTAGGAAATCTATGTTTCTAATGTTTGTTCCTATGTTGTCAGTATTGGCGACTTTCCTCTAATAAATTTTCTTTATATGATATAAAAATATATCTCACAATTGTGATATGATTAAATAAAGAACAACTTTTATTGTATAATTAATTTTTAAAATATATTGTATTTATAAAATATATTTCTCTGTGTATTTACATTTTTTATTTAAAAAATTATATTTTTGAAAAATTAACCGATTTTTTTTTAATCGTTATTTTAAATTATCTAGATATAATCCTACGTACGATCCGCTCTTGTATCATCGCCGGAAGCACAAGGTGAAACATAAAAAGAAGCACAAGGAGGGCAGAAAGCACAAGAACCAGCAACAACAGGAACAATCGCATTCTGAACAATCCTGTTTAGATTCCACAGACTCGCAACAACAGCAGTCGCAACAGCAGCCACAGAATTGGAATGTCTTACCAGGCGGCGGTGAGTCTTACAGAGCCATTAAGGAACAGTGCCTGAAACAGAAGTTGTCGATATCTCTGAAGAGGTTGAATACAAATGCGTATGCGCGTTGCGATTATCCCGTGAGCAACGCGTCCTCCGGTTGCAAGAGTTCCGGTGGTAGCAGCGACGAGTTAAGCGAACATGAGCCGGAAGTGGAAACTGCGCCAGATTTTCCACCTCATCAGTCTCATCCTCTAGTTATGCGTCTGGCTGCCACCTCCGTAGCGCACTGCCTTACGACTAATGGCAGACGGATGGACGTGGGCGACGTTGTATGGGGTAAAATTCACGGCTTTCCTTGGTGGCCTGGCAAGGTATGCTTAAAGTGTTCTAAAAAATATACTCTGATATAATCTCTTTATTATAGAATAAGTTACAATAATTATTAGCTTGGCTAACTATCATTAGTTTAGCGCATCCGTAATTATTATCGAATTTTATTATTTACAGGTGCTAAGTATCACGTTATCTTGCAAAGAGGACGGTACCTCATCAGGTCCTCAGGCTCATGTGGCTTGGTACGGATCATCAACCAGTTCGCTGATGTCCTGTGATCAGTTAAGTCCCTTTTTGGAAACCTTTAAGGTATATTCATTTAAATAATAATAATAATATATACATATAATGCTTAAAATATATAAATACAATAAGTAATAAAATACGTAAAATGTAATGAGTAATTGAAATGATTGAAACTGCTTCAAATGATAAAAGAACGAAATTTGAATTTATTGTGTATCTTATATTTTCTGTATTAGTTTCATAGTAACAGTAAAGTAACAATTTTCGGAAATGTGATGTAATTGTGAATTCTAATTCCAGACACGGTATAACAAAAAAAAGCGCGGCCCGTATAAGGAAGCAATACGGCAGGCCCAAAACGAGGCTCGAAGTCAAATCACGCCTAACTCAACAAGCAGCGTGTTGAACGTCTGCGGTTCGCCCCGTGAAGTCAACGTCCTCTCCTAAGAGAAGTTCTCTGACAACCATTCCTTACTAACAAACATCCGTCGGCGTAATAATTGAAGTGCTCGCGGCAAGAAAAAGTGCCGATCGATAATTAACAACATTTTTTAATTTATTTAACAATTTTTATCAATGTACACTTCTTGTAAAAGAACTTTTCTTCGCGTTTTCTTTAGTCACGGTAGTCAATTTAAACGTTTGTGAATTTTAACAGATCTTAGGAATTTTTAATTGCTTTCTTCGGATCTTAACTTCGCGATCGTTTCTTCTGAGACTTGCAATAGACTTTAAAATTATAGAATTTTTTATAGATTTCAACACTCTTCTTTATCGCGATGCAATAATTGTACTGATGACTAAATTCCGAAGAAATAACTTTTTTATATGTAACATGTGCAAGTCAACATTGACTTTCCCCGAGCGCTTGAATTATCGATGGATTGGAATTGTCGTGTAACATATGAAATTTTGTACATACCCATTAGCACTATTGAAATAGTTAATCAATGTTTTTTGTCTACCATCTGTTTTGCTGTCAGTCGCTTGAAGCCAGTTGTGCCGGCGTATATTAATAATTTTTAACTGACATTTTCTTCATTTTCGCCGATATTTTTTCTATAATTTTATGCTAAAAATTGTAACTTGTTTTATATCATTAATAATTTTTGTCGAATTTTTTTAATGATAGGATCGGCGACAGAATCATATTTTTGTTTTACTTTTTTTTTTTTAATAAATTTCTGTTCTTTGATACAGTTGGTCAATGTCTGTGCGGTCGACTGACTTCTTGCAAATCGAATCGCGAACGTTTACTGCCATCATCACTGGTTTTTTTTATCTTCAGCTTATCAAGCGGACGGTAGCGCGCAAAGTCTTAAGCTGCGTCCAGACTATCGAGCCGTCGACCTCGAGTCGAACCGAGCCGAGTTGCGAGCCTCGAGCCGAGCAGAACAAACGAGAACAGCAGCTATTTTTGTAATATTGTCCATTGTATATGCGCGTATATTTAATTATATGTATAAAACAGATAATTAAAATCACGTACAATATTGCGACGCTCGTGAAATTTGGTTAAAGCTGGATTTGATTTCGACTCGAAACTTCAGCTCGATAATTTCGGCTCAAAGCTCATCAGTGACAGAATCGAGGCTCGGCTCGGCTCGGCTCGGCTCGGCTCGGCTCGGCTCGGCTCGGCTCGGCTCGCGTTTCGGTTCAATAGTCTGGACGCAGCTTTATATATCCTAAATATTTTTATTACTGCGAGGTTTTTTTGTTCTTTCGTTGATTAATCTCTCAAACGTCTTGATCAGTGTGACTCATTATATATCGTGCAACTCTCAAACTGCACATTAATTATAACGGTATGCGTATATAATAATATATGTTTATACATACGTTTATATACTTTAATTTTTATCTATAACATTTTTGTTTTTTTTTTAGACGAAAGAGAAGCAGCGATTTGAGGGATTAAACGTATTAAAATTATTGATAATAGTTTGTCAATTATCATTTTCGACAACCGCCATAGTGATACAAATCGCAGATCTAGCTGGACGAATGCGCTTTATTTACATGTGCTTAGAATTGCATTTAAATGTAAATTTTTTCCTTCTTCGACAAAGAGCCAATGTTTACGCTTTGTGCCAACACTGCCGTGTAATTAAACAATCGTTTGATATTTGAACAACGATAATTGTAAAGCGAATTTATAATAGGTTGGATGAATTTTAATTCCTAAAGATCTAATTAATATTATAAAGGCATATATATATTTCTTTCTTCTAAAAAATGATATAGGAAACGATAAAAAATATCTTGTAATTACATATAAAAAATTAACAAAAAAACTAATTTTTACAACTCTGATATTGATAAAACTTCTAAAAGTTTTAGTTGCGAATTATCAAAACATTAAAAAATCGTTAAAAATATGTTAAGTTAATTCATAACTTTGAAAATTTATATAGATACAAATTTATACATAAAAATTGAAAAATTTCCGCATTGCGAATTATTTTGCAGAAAGGAAATCAGTATTTAGGAATCGGACATGTGCTCTGATCTAAAAGTAGTGCAGACATTGTGAAACCACAAATAGTACTTAAGAAACCCTGTTTCATTGTTACATCGATGTTGTGCCACTGCCTCGACAATTTTCTTCCACAAAACTATTTCCATGTCTAATCGAAGTCTAATATTGATTGATTTTTTTTTGTTGTGATATTGGTGTATCTTATTGCTTATTTTTGTAGAATTTTCAAATTCGCAAGACATATATTATATAGAGAGAATTAATCGTCAGGAATTATTAATCAGAAAAAATATCAAGAATTTGTGTTGATTAAAATTGACTATTTTAATCTCTCAATTAGATATTACAAATTGCGTTATTGTTAGACAACTAATTTTCTTAATAATTGACACTCAGGGAAGGCTAAATTCATTTGATTACGAAACAAATCTTGCAAATAAATCTTGAAGATAAACATGAACAATCTCGCGATATTGGCTGCGCCGTTTTTGTTTAATTTTTAATTTAACAACTAAAAGCGGATGATTATTCTCGCGATATACATCGTCTATAAATAGGTGCGAAAAAAAGATTGTGCGCATGAGAAAAAAGCGGAATGAGAGAGATAAAGAGTGTGAAAGAAAAAGAGTTTGAAAAAAAATAAGAAAGTGTGAGAAGGTAAAGGTGTTTTAAGTAACTGTGATTTTTTTGCAAATGTTTTATATATATATATTATATATATGTATGTTATATACATAAATATGAATTAATTTCTACATATAATATAAACGATGTTTCGATGTCGCTGTGTTTATACGGACTAGGCTAACATATCGTTAACGAAAATAATGACGATTATTATTATGAACGATGATTAGCATGATTATGATTATTATTCCTTATTATTGTTACTGAGCTCGAAATGTTGCTGATTGCTTGCTGTAAGTATACGAGGATGGATCGTACCGTCTATTAGCATATTTCTACCGCCTCATTAAACAAATTAAAAAGTGGAAATGTTAATTTATTTCATGAAGGAGAAATTTTGTTCATTTTTTTCGTATTTTTTATGAAAAAGATATTTCCTTTGTTTATTAAGAAACTTTGTTATTGGTACTTACGAGGCACCATTTTATTTCGCGTCAACCTCTTTTGTTATTCAATTTTTTCTCTTTTCAGAATATTTTGTGTTATAATTAAGTATTTATGCGCAGCAGAGAAAGCACTCGTACACCATTGCTTCGCCATGAATCATCTTTTCTCCAAACGTATTATTAATTATTAAACAATATGATTTATTGTATATTATTGGAAGATATGATACTTGCGATATGTTAATAGAACAATTAACAATTTTTAATTTAAATTTCTCTGATATCTAAGAGTAACAAAAGAATATATTTTATAACAAACTTTTTTGAGAAATTATTATTCATTGTTTAGTGAGATATTTGAAAGTTTTGACATTATCTCTGGAGAAATAATACGGCGAATTAATTCCGTTGTACGGATGTTATTTTTACGCACTGTACGCATAATGTGTGTTGATTTAGGAATCACATTTAAACATTAATTTACAAGATATTAATGTTGCAATTTGACGAAATTTTCAGGTAGGCAAATGATTTGAATAAATCGGCATATCTACCTCATACTTTCTCTTTATTCTTCCCTACAACAATCTTTTTACACACGATCTAATTAACATTCCAAGTCAAGTATACAAATTCAGAATGTCGACTCCATAAACTTCTATGCAATTATATTAATGACTCATAGCAATTTATCACATTAATTAATTGAGCTAAATCGATAGTCGCGGTAATTCGTATGAAGGAAAGAGGTGTGAAAGAGAAGGAGGATCATACCTACAAATTACATACAATTTTCAGACCAACCTTCCCTCCCCCTCCTCGAATTGAAAATCGGGGTTACTTCCCCTTCCGAGTTGCAAGTGTATACGCGCGCGCGTATACACTTGCTGATAAGCCGGCTTCCTTTGATTTTCTAGGGTAAGACCGGTGCGGCGCAGCGCGACGCTTCGCAGCGTGCCGCCGGCCGGGAGACCTCGCGCGCGCCGCACCCTTGCGTCGTTGGCGTCGCGACGCTTTGCAACGCGACGCAAGGATGCATCGCCGGCAGGTGTGCGAGTTTTCAGGTAATCCAACGATGGATCGTATATTGAGTGCTGATTGAGTTTTGTTTTGCTCCTCGTAATCGTCGACTACAAACATCGCACAGTGATCGCAATGTTTACATGGTGTTCACAACGAACGTGAAATGGCTCCGTTTAATATCTTTGGGCGTTTGCATTGTTCTCGAGAATCACGAGATCCTGGTTTGCTACAAATTTCGAAATGGTGAATAAACGAGTTTCTTGAAAAGCGTTTTGAACGCAATTTGATAATTTCACTTTTGATCAACCACGTGTAGTTTCAATAACCATGTATTATTTGAGAAGTTTAAACGTTTATAATATGTTTCTACAACAAAATTTTACGCTACTTTTGATTTTAATTACGTGTACAGTTATATCCTTGAAACATTGGAGATCTCTACAGGAGTTTAAATAACAACAAAAGTACGTTTAAATAAATAAGAAAACCTGGTTTCTGAGTTAGTTTCAAGGATACAGCACTTCAATAGAAACTTTATTGTGAACTCAATTCTGTGTTTTATTTCAAATTTTTATTTAATATGTAAAATATAATCTACTATATCTATAACGGATTTTGTAATCACATTTGACAAAATTTTTTTAATTTTTGGAGGTAAGAGTAACTCGAAATTTATTAAGAGAAACAGCGTAGCTGATCAAATCTATATATATATATATATATATACATCCATTACACATGTTGATATATATATGTATTGTATACACACATCCATCACTGATACATGCTATAAGTTTGCTAATTATTGAAAAAGATGAAAAGAGACAAATCGTAATTTTATTATTTTATTTAACTTTATTTAATTCCTGTTATTACTGACCATATTATATATACGTAGAATCGACAGCATATATTGTAACCACCCCTTGTATAACAGAGTCGTGCGATCGATCGAATGACACGACGCACTCCTGGAAAAGTACCCGTCTTCTTCACTCACCCCATATATAATGAATTGCTTTACGAACCCTCAAAATTAATCTACAAGATTTGGTACCACCTTTTAAATTTTTTATTGCATTTGAGAGATTTTTTTTACCGACATATACAGATTTATGTAAGGGAATATTTCTTTATATTTTCCTTAAAGAGCGATTAAAACATTTTTAATTATTGCATATTTCTTAAATTCAGCCATTAATGCGTTATGATTATGCGTAGTTATGTGATAATGTCATCATGATCTTGACATTTTTAATATAAAAAATCTATGATGTACTTTTATAATTTGGATATTTCCTCAATTGTGTAAATTAAAATTGCAAAATTCATATGACGCGTTTTATATTTCTAATTTAAAAAATTCGAACTTTACGAAATTCGCTTTTTTCACCTTATAACATCCTTTAATTTATAAACAGCCGTATCTTACTAATTAAGTAAACATGAATTGTGAGCCTTAAAGATGT